AAAAAAAAAAAAGAGAGAAAAGAAAAGAAAAGAAAATACTACCTGTGCAGATTTGAGAACTTCACCGAAAGGACCATCGCTGAGCTTCAGCCTAGCTTCTTCCTCTCCTATAATATTATCGAGCTCGTCGATCAAAGTATGAGGTTGCAAGATTCCTTTTCCCTGAGCCACATACCTTCCAAATCCGAAATACTAAATTAGAAAAATGAAAAATACGCAAGAATATACTTCTTTTTATTCCCGTTCTTTGCAAAATTTTCTCAGGAACCAAACAAAAGGTGAGAAAATGGAGAAAAATAGTGAGAACCTGGAGAGAAAAATAGTGAGAACCTGGAGAGAAGAGAGATGAGCTCGTTGCGATGAGCAGAAAGAGTATCCTCCACGCGCTCCCTCATGCTGGGGATTCTACCGAGCTTAGGGTTCGCCATGATCGATCTTCTGTAGCTCTCCTGCTTGTTCTGAATAGCTTCTCAGTGACTGCGACACAAAAGAAAAAGCGAATTTAAATAGGCAGTTAGTGGAATTTGAAGATGACGGGCAACTATTATTGCAGTATATATAGTAGTGGAGGACAAAATTGAATGGATCAGTAAGTAGAAAAAAATGAGAGGGGGGTGGACAGCTATAGCGCGCTTTATTTTTATTTTATTTTATTATTATTTTATTTTTTCAGTTTTCTTTGATAGTGATGTTGATAAACATCCGCCACGGCAATCGTGGCCGTAAATGGACAGAACTGCAGGAACGATATCGTGCCACGTTTATCGAGAATATTGAATTAAAAAAATTGACACAGCGATACTTATCCAAAAGCAAAAGCGAAAATAATTGGTGGGCAACTTTTTTTTTTTTGTATTATTATTATAATTATAATGTTATATAAAATTAAAAATTATAATTATTATATAATATTAAAAAATATAAAAAGTTAATGTATATCATTTTTAATTTTTAAAAATAATTAAAATTTTAATTTATATTTAAAAATTAAAATTTTTTATTAAATATTAATTTTTAAATTTAAAAATTTATTATATATTTTAATATATCAATATTTAATAAAATAATTTTTTAAATTTTGAATTAGATTTTAATTAAGTAAAATG